AAGCCGGAGCAACACCTTTCCTCTGTTAATACTCAGGTTGCTGTGCCGGCTCCTGGGTGGCAGGTTTGGGTGCTGGGGGTCTCCGGGGGGGGGACCCAGGGCTGCTGATCCTCCTCCCCTGCCCCAGGATGGTCCATAAGGGCAGCCTGCCCTTCCAGACCTCCTCTTCCTCGCGCAGTCCTGTGCTTTTGCCATCACACAGGGGTTTTCTCCCTGGTCTCTGCTTTAAACCTGCAATTCGGAGTGATTCTCACGTCCCTCCTGCTCACAGCAGTCTACTACCGCTGTTGTGTTTTTCCTCCAAGTCTCTCCTTTCTCTCAGCCCCGACACTGTGTTCTCACAGATCAAGTGCTTTTTGTCTGACTCTCCCCAACTTCTGCACCCCATTGTCCTTTTCGGCTTGCCGCAGTAGCCCTCTTGGTGCATCTTGGCACTGTTTGTGCCTCTGTTCGGATTGCTGGTTCCTCACCCACTGAACCCCCTGGTCTTTTTTATTTTTTTTCCTTGTGTTTTCCTTTCTTTATTTTTTTCCTTGGGTTTTCCTTTCTTTAATTTTTTTCTTGGGTTTTCCTTTCTTTATTTTTTTTTTCTTGGGTTTTCCTTTCTTTATTTTTTTTTTCTTGGGTTTTCCTTTCTTTATTTTTTTTTCTTGGGTTTTCCTTTCTTTATTTTTTTTTTCTTGGGTTTTCCTTTCTTTATTTTTTTTTCTTGGGTTTTCCTTTTTTTTTTCTTGGGTTTTCCTTTTTTTTTTTTTTAACTTTAATAAACTGCTGCCTAATTGCTATCCTGGATGGCGACAACCCAAACACTGAAATGTTGCACTTGTTTCTAATAAATTGCATCCTATTATTTCCACCCCGCTTCAGTTTGCTAGCGTGGTTTGAGTTCTCTCTCTGGCCTTCACGTAATTGCAGCCTCCGAAGCTGACAATATCAGCAAGTTTTATAAGCCCGTTCCCTACCCCATCGTTAGGGCGAGCAGTGAATGGCGCTGGATAGACGGGGCCTTCCTGATGCAGCCCTTCTGTTTTGGGGCTGACTCACGGAAAACCGCGTGTGGCACGTGTTCGCACCCAGCCTTGCACCCAGCCCGTTGCACATTAACCGGGGCAAATTCCTCCGCTCGCCTATGGGAACGCAGACAGCGTCCGCATGGAAACTCTGGCCGAGAGGTGAAAAGGCTCTTATCGAGCAGAGCCGTATAAAGCAATTTACAGAATTTCCGGGGATGCTCAGCTGCTTCCTGGGTTCGTGGGGCTTCTGGCAGAGATGTAAGCAAGTCACATTTTCCTTCTCGAGTTCATAATCCGGCTCTAATCTCACCTGGGGGGGGGTGTGTGTATTCTTGCTGCTGGGACTGACTCAGGTCCAGCTGAGTTTGGACTCTGCTTTATCAAGGGACTTGTCTGTGCCAGCTGTGAAAACAGCTTTAGCTTAAAAAAAAAATAAAAATAAATAATAATCCTGAGTTATGCACCCTGCTGTGGTCCTTAGCAAATTATCCTTGCATGCTGGTTAATTGTTTATCCATTAACTGACTGCATCCATTATCTGACAAGGGGAGGCTGGCTGTACCTGGCACGGCAGGAGAGGAGGAGGAGGCGGGAGGATGCACATCCTTTCCATGTTGGCTTCTGTCCGTGTGCTCTTCCTCCAGCCCTGTCCGTGTGGTATTTGGCTGCTGGTTTCCTTCAAGTGTAATTGCTGGCGTGGCACGGACAAAGTACGTACAGACCTCTTCTTTTGGAAAGTGCCTTAAGTTTCCATGAAACAGGAGCATCTCTTCAGACTAAAAAAAATAATAAAAATTAGCTGTGTTTTGTTTCCAAATGCAAATACAGACAGAAGAAATACAAAGATGCTGCTTTATTCCCAGCTAGAGATGGCCCCCAAAAATTTATTTGCCTGGAGTGCCAAGCTGGAAATAAAATAGGATTTTATTGTACGTGTGGGTGTAGAGTGGGGAAGCACTGCCACCCGGCGTGGGCCAGCTCTGGGCTCCCCCTGCCATCCCCGGGGTGATTTGGGAAAGCCTGGTAGCGTGGCGTCCTTCCTGAGAACGCTGTTTATGTACTCCTGCTTTCTAGGGAGAAAATCAAACATTCGAAGCCAGTCTGTATCTGGGTGGAATGACTTCATTGCGAGAAGGAAATAAAGATGAACCTTATGCTTTCCGAGTAATTAAGTCCCCTTTAGTGATGGGGATGGTGGAAAGCTGCTGGCAGCGGGACCTGGGTCCCCCTCCAGTGGCAGTGACGGAGGTGTGGGGCAGTGCTGGCGCTGAATTCCCGCCGCGGGGAGGCTGAGCGAACTGGGCAGAGCAGTGGGTGACATCTGTAGCGTGATCGTCCTACGTGGTTCAGTGCATCTCCATCGGTGAAGGTTAATACAAATCCTGTTTACAGAAGGGCAATGAGGTACCCGGGGGTAGGATACATGTGGGGGGAGGGTTGTGTTTGAATTATTCTAGCGGTCCTCTCGAAGTGCCGCACTGGTCCAGCGAGCCTTCGGTCTGGTCCCAAAGCCCTCTGTGCTGTGGTGGCGTTCCCAGCCACCAGTGGAAGGTGGCAATGCCACCAACGCCTCGCTCCCAAGGTGAAGCTGTTGGTTCTGCATTTACTTTGGTATAAGAGGAGATGTTGACCCAGTTTGTCTTGATTCGAGTCTGCGTGCAAAGGGATTTATTTTATTTTCTGAAGGCAGCTGATTTTAACATGTTTTGGGGCTTACATGATACCAGCCCTGTGTAGTAATAAAATTATGCGCTTGTTTCAAGAGGAAACAATAATAAAGAGCGTTCTTTCAAAAGCAGCTAAACACATGTATTATTAAAATGTTAAATTATTTCCAAATTACGACATATCCAGCTCTTTCTGTAGAGCTCACTCAAGAATAATTGCAGTGTTCTTTGCAGAATTTAACATCAGAAATGTTGCACTTTTTTTTCTTTTTTAAAAAAAAAAAGAAAATCTTTCTGTCACACAATATCAGAGCTTCCATGGGTATAAATGGGCATCCTTGTATTGACTTCTGTAAAATGTTCCTAGTTTGTCCCATCCATAATTTTTCAGCGTAGCTGTCGAGCTGTGACATTTACTGCAGAGCAGAACAAAGATTGAAGGGACTTTTTTATCACGGAGATGCCCGGGAGCTGTAGCTTGGCTGCCTGCAGGGACCAGCAGTCGGGTCCACAGCCCCACGGCGAGCTGCTGAGCCTGGGCGAGGAGGAGGAGGAGGAGGAAGATGCTTTGCAAATACTCACACATGCTGAAAGCTTGCGTCAGTGTTAGTGGGCATGCCTCCATCTTGGGTGGTTTGGGTTGGTTGTTTTTGTTGTTGTTTTTTTAATTCTATTTTTAAAAAAATATTTTTTTTAATTTTCCTTTTCAATTTTTATTTTACTTATTTTAATCTTTTATTTTTTATTTTTTATTTTCTTCCTCCTTCCCTTTTTTTTTGTCCTGACTCACTCTCCTGGCATGGGTGGGTGGGGATAAAGGTGGGAAGTGCTGTAGTCATCAGTGCCCAAACATCTCCAGGTGCCACTGCCTGGCTGTCCTGTCCCCATCCCACTGTCCCCGTCATGAAGGTGGGCTGGTCCTCTGCAGCTCCCCGGGCTGTATAAGGGGTCTGAGCTCCCTGGGGGGCTGTTGGAGGGGTGAGGATGAGCTGCAGCATCCACCCACGGTGCTCCCAGGCTTTCTGTGGGCATTTGGGTGCCCCCAATCCCACTCTGCACCGCAGATGTGAGCCCTTGTGACTGTGACTTTTGAGCCTGCTGAGAGGATGGAGCTGCATGAGACAGGCAGATGCTACAGGCAGTCGTGTAAGGTGCATAAAAATAGAGGAAATCTTAATAATGCCAGGAGTTTCTTTCACTAGTTCAATCCAAGGATTGAATCATACAATGGTTTAGGTTGGAAGGGACCTTAAAGATCATCTAGTTCCAACCCCCCTGCCCTGGGCCGGGACACCTCCCACCAGCCCAGGTTGCTCCAAGCCCCGTCCAACCTGGCCTTGAACACCTCCAGGGATGGGGCAGCCACAGCTTCTCGGGGCAGCCTGCGCCAGGGGCTCACCACCCTCAGAGGGAAAAATTTCTTCCTAATATCTAATCTAAATCTACCTTCTTCCAGTTTGAAGCCATTCCCCCTCATCCTAGCACTACATGCCCCAGTAAAAAGTCCCTCTCCAGCTCCCCTGTAGCCGCTTTAGGTACTGGAAGGGGCTATAAGGTTTCCCCAGAACCTTCCCTTCTCCAGGGTGAAGAACCCCAACTCTCTCAGCCTGTCCTAATAGGAGGGGGGCTCCAGCCCTCTCATAATCTTTGTGGCCCTCCTCTGGACCCACTCCAACAGGTCAATGTCTTTCCTATGTTGGGGGACTTCAGAAGAACACTGAACAAAAATGCGTAGTGATTTTCTGAGTGCATTTTTCCTCAGTGCAACCTAGCCTGGGAAATG